AGAAAAGACATAGCCCCAAATCACTTTTTTTGGGAAACTGAAGCATTGCCTAGCTCAGTGGTTCTCAACCTGTGGGTCGGGACCCCATTTGGAGTCGATCGACCATTTCACGGGGGTCACCAAGCAAGGCTGTCCGCCATTTTTTTTGTCCACCATTTTTCCCCCTTTTCCGGCGGGTGCCTTACCTCCCTTGGGCTGGGCCAGCTGGTGGTCGGCCTGCTCTGTCTCTGCCGCTTGCCAGCTATGCCTTGGCCAGCGCAGAGGGTGGAACCACGCATGCGCGGCGCTCCCGGGCAGGGAAAGTCCTCGACTTACGACCGGTTTAGTCCTCGACTTACGACCGGTTTAGTCCTCGACTTACGACCGGTTGGGGTCGCGGCATTAAAAAGGTTGAGAACCACTGGCCTAGCTTTAACAAAGAGCATCATTAAAGCCCAGTGCTCAGCTTCTTTCTAGTGGGAATAGTGTTATGCAGTGGGGAAGGAACCAAGCGAGGGTGTCAAAACTAACAAATCGGTGAATGCGACATCCTGATCCAAGCCCTGCCGCTTTTGTATCTGCAGCAACATCAAAAATATGTACAAAGGAGTAGGCTTGAATTGTGACTCCCTAGCTGACATCTTGCTACTTTTGATATCGCTGCCTTGTTCCACACCCTGCAGACACTACTGATGTAGTTAAGGGGGTTGAACACATATGGTCCAGTCGGGACACTTTAAATCTACCTTTCAGCCATCAATAGACACACAGAAATCAACCATATTTGGACACTTTTCAAAAGAGATAACAAAAAAAGTTAAGAAGGAAACAAAAAGACATGAACACATTCTCTTTAACAGCCATCGTCCAGATAAGCAGCATCCAACAATCAAGGACAAAACAATTCCCTAATGGAGGGGCTACCAAGGAGAAAAGACTAATCTCACCAATATTGGCTTGGCAAACTACTGTATATAAATAAGAGCAAACTCCACAGTCACTTGTATTGATGATATTACCTAGCAAGCAACTAAACTCAGAAGCTAGGTTTTTACATTTGAAGTTAATTTACTTAGTTTTCTTCATTGCATTATTTGAAAGCTGTTAATTACCGCTTCTTATTTTTACTTTATAAATTCATGCTATGTGCTGCCTCTAATATATTAATATCATTCTAGGCCTGTTTTCCTGTAGAAAATAGAGGGGGGAGGAGAGGAAAGATTAGCTGGTTCAGACTATATATCGCATGTAAAGTCCCTACTGATTGCACACATAATATTCTAAGCTAAAACTATACATATTTTAAACATTGTGATATGTGAACTTGGCCAGTATGTTCACTTTGCACTCAAAACCACTGAGAGCAGTGAAGCTCTTCTGAGAACTGTGTTGTTTATGAAATAGGCTGATGATAATATTACGTGTTAAAGTTTCATTTTTTTTAAAAAAAAGGAGCACATTTATATAATTTACGCTGTTGCCAGAAGAATAGGTATACGGTTTAAATGCTATTCAGAGTTTCATGAGTAAAATAATATTAATAGGTCATTATTGTAATTATCTGAGAAGTGATTTACTCTGAATTTTGTCTATTCCTGGAAAAGGGAGTAACTTTGGCAGGCACAATTTGAAGGGGTTTCAGAATTTCAAAATGGCTATCTTGGGAAAGAACAAAATGTTCCGAGTGTGTTATAATCACAATGTTTTTGATCTCATCACAGAGGTCTACTCCGGTCATCCTTTTTTTTTTCCTGTTCAGATACAGTCTCTGCATTTTTGTACGGACACCAGGTGTGTATTTTCAAATATGTCATACAAGAACTTTACCAAAGGAACCCATAAATGGCTGCAGTTATATGCTCTTACACAGCTACAAATGTGGCTTTGCATAATATCAGTCTATGATTTCAGTCAAAATGTATAAAGCATTGGCAGAAATCTAGATTTGCCTCATAGACAACAGAATGAGAATTTAAGCCTGTTAGATCAGCAGACAAGAAGGCTGCAATTATCTAACCACTTATCAGTGGGAATGACAAACAGACATAGGCTTGTGCTATAAGCTGTCACATGAAAGGATTCAGTCGCATAAGTGCCAATATAGTGAGTATATTTGAAATAGGGAAGCAGTGAGCACAATGAGGGAGGTGCAGTAGAACCTACAGAATTCCTCCTTGGCTACAGAGCCACGGCGGTGCAGTGTTAGAATGCCATATTGCCAGCAGTTCAATCCTGACGAGGCTCAAGGTTGACTCGGCCTTCCATCCTTCCAAGGTCAGTAAAATGAGGATCCAGAGTTGACTCTGTAAACTGCTTAGAGAGGACTGTAAAGTACCGTGAAGCAGTATATAAGTCTAAGTGCTATTGCTATTCACGCAATGTGCTAAACCATTATGTGGTTTGTGGAGTTTTGGGTTTCTGTAATACGTGGACATCAGTTATTGTCTTTTGATTTGTAAAGTAAATTTATGGAAAAATGTAAATTACAGCAGAACCTCATAAGTCTCCCCATATCCTATTTTCATGACCTCTAATAGTTCCATTGCCAGTCATTACCAGTATAAGCAGGACCCGATTAAACTCTCTGTCATTTTTAATAAGTTTAACACATTTTTTAAAAAAATAAAACCCAGAGCAGGGGAGAAGTAATTCCCTATCCCTACACATAATACATTCCCAGCCCTTTTTTTTTATCACTAGCCTGCTAGCACAGCTCTGTCCACTTCAACCACCATGGTGAAAGATTGTACACTTTAAGGCTTAGGATTTAGATCAGAAGTCTCTAAGTCTATTCAGTTCTTCAAGTTATTTTTTGTGGCCCACAATATCTTAAAAAATGCAGAGGACATTGCCCAGGAATGCCTGGGGCCCAAGCGACATATAGATATGTGAATTAGGTTACAAGAAAAAACTTCTGGAAATGAAGAAGAGGAGAAAAAAAATTCAAAGAAAGAACATTCCCCATTTTATAACCTTTCTTGTCGCAGTTGTTAAATGAATCACTGCGGTTGATAAGTTAGTAACCTGGTTGTTAAGTGAATCTGGCTTCCCCATTGATTTTGCTTGTCAAAAGGTTGTAAAAAAGTGATTTTGGGACACAGCAACGGTCATAAATATGAACCAGTTGCCAAGCATCTGAATTTTGATTACATGATCATGGGGATGCTGCAAAAGTTGTAAATGTGAAAAATGGTCATAAGTCACTTTTTTCCGTGCCGTTGTAATTTTGGTCACGGAATGAATGAATTGTTGTAAGTCGAGGACTGTCTATGTACTGTAGTTAAAAAGGAAAATGACAGGATGCAAGAATGCCTATAAAATTCTTCTATTCTCTTCTGGGTTTGGGGTTATCAGAGCTTTATTTTGAAAATGAACAAGGTAATTAGCATCCCCCTTTGCATGCAGTGATGGTTTTTCATCCTAATGGGATGATTGTTGTTGCCCCTAGAAAGCTAAATAAATAAAACAGGAAGCCCCAGCCAAAACAACGTTTGTAGGGAAAATAATAAATTATGACTTGTCTTGGTTTTCATGTTGCATTTGGGCATATTCAGTGATATTTGAAGCATAATTGGCTCAACCATTTTGCATTTTTGTGCAAATGCAGTTTACTGATTTCTGATAGGAAGTTGAGCAACTTGCCTGGCAAGCTGGCACCAAGATGAGTACAGCCAGCTCAGAAATTATACGTATCAGGTGTCAGCATATCAAAGGCTTAGGTTCATAAATCCTCCCTAAATCATATTAAGGTTTACACTGAGTGCAATGTGTGAGCACAAATATTTGGAGATCAGCTAAGCAACCAGTATGACAACATATCATAGCGAAAGTCCCACTGCTGCTATAGCAAATAAAAAAGGAAGTTGCTTTTCTCCCTGTCTTCCTTTGACTGTGATGCTTTATATTTCAACTATTCTGGAATAGAATCAGACAGCAATGCTGTCTGCCTATAAATTTAAGGACTGCTATGGCTGAAGATGATTTGAGCAGATGAATAAACAGCAAGAAGTCGAGAATCTCAGGCTGTCTTACACACCAAATGTGCTATCAATCCGTCTCTGTCCTGGAAGAGAATCTCCAAGCAGAATCTGGCATCCAAATTTGCAGAGGATAATTTATGGCAGCAAGTTTGGTTTCTGTCTTAACAAACTACCCAAGAAATTTGAATTATAGATATGCTGGAGAGAGAATGCTGGTGTCAAAGCAAGCACACATGAAAAGACTTTCTGCATCTCTACTGCCACCCAGTGGGAAGGGTGTAGGAAATGCAAAATGATATAGCAAAGCACAGCAACAAACCCCAAAAGTAATAATGCTTTCCTCTTCTCCAATACTGCAAATAAATAGAAAATAAAAAAACGTAAAAATAAAAAATAAATAAAGCTAGTAAATAAAAAGATAAAGCTATGTCCAAAACACATGTTTTAATTAGTTATTATCTAGAGCAGTGATGGCGAACCTTCTAAAAACCGAGTGCCCAAAAAATGGCCCCGCCCCCACTCCACCCCTGCCCCACCCCTGCTTCACCCCCCCATCCCCCACCCCGCCTGCCTGCAGGGCCACTCACCGCCTCCAGTGCCCGCCGCAGATCGCCCAGGCAGCCCAGCAGCGCTATGGCGGTCACGCCCTCTGCCCGCGCCCTATAGCATCAACTGTGCATGATGGGGTGTGAGGGCAGAATCTTATCTACGCTGCCTGGCTGCCATGTCCTTGGCTGCGCTGCTCCGGGTGGGCCACGCTCAGGAGCAACTCTCCTTCAGGGGGGCTGCTGGAGAGGAGGGGGTTGCGGGAGGAGGCGAGGCTGGGGCAATGGCACATGTGCCCACAGAGAGGACTCCGAGTGCCGCCTCTGGCACCCGTGCCCTAGGTTCGCCACCACTGATCTAGAGAAACAAGGGGAAGAGACGGCATGGGGATAGCAGTCTAGTGTCAAAAGGGGAAAGTAACAGGAAAGGGTTAGAAAATAAGTTATTGTCAGCATGTAATGCAAGATGTCCATGTCCTCCCCTTTCACCTCCCAGCTCTGTCAAATGAATATCTCAGTGATTCATCTGCTGCTGTTCCTGTTCCTTGGACCATTTTGTTCACCTGCACCACGACTCTCGGTATGTAGAAGCTGGATACTTGTGATGAGTTTTCTACTAACACCAAGAAAAGAATCCTGAGCGGCTGTAAAATTGCTGAATATTTGGAAATTTTCTCAATACAAAGAGAGTTAGCCTGTTGGCTTGGTCAATACTCAAGCCATTGCTGAGGATTATAATAGCCTAAACATTTACATTTAAAATTTAAATATATAATGGATACGCCTGTCGTTCCCTTGTTGAATAAGGAGCAATCTCTGTTGCAATGTATAAGACTTCAGCACGCTCCCTTTTTCAAGCATGCTGCCTTCAATCTTCAATATGAAAAAGTCGTACATGGTATGGGACAGCGCACACACGCGCACACATGCACACACACACAGACTATGGCCTAACCCAGGGGTAGGCAACCTTGGCTCTTTTATGACTCGTGGACTTCAACTCCCAGAATTCCTGAGCCAGCATGGCTGGCTCAGGAATTCTGGGAGTTGAAGTCCACGAGTCATAAAAGAGCCAAAGTTGCCTACCCCTGGCCTAACCCTACTGGTATTCTATTGCTGAATAATCATAACTACCATAAATTGAACAAATAAACAACCATAAAGGCTGAGGATCGTGTTAGGAACCTTATTTTGCTGCTGATATCTTGCTCTAAATACAAAGTTAAAGATATATGTGTTTTTCCCCCTTACTTTCAGAAAAAGGAGGAATGCCTCTTAGAAAACAGCAAACTACAGAAGAAGTTGAAAATGCTTCAAGATTTATACCAGTTATATGAATTTCAGTTGAAAGACCTGCTGGGGAACAACTATCACAGAAGAAAAAGCAAAGTTTTCTCTGCCAGGAAGACAGCATCTCTGGATATGTATTTGCCCACAACTAGTGGAAGTCTCTTAGTCTATGATCAAGGTACATTATCTAGGGCAGGGGTGTCAAACTGCCGGCTTGTGGGCTGGACGCGTCACGAGGAAACCGCGCCCACCTCATTGCCGGCAGTGGGGAAAAAGTTCCGATACATCGCGTGGTGTCACATGTCTGATCTAGGGGATAAATCTGTCTTTCTTGAAAATTGCCTTATTATGATAGCATTCTGTAGACTCTTGGTTTTCAGTCATATTATGACAGTTAGAACAATTAATCAGTGGAACAACATGCCTTCAGATGTAGGTGCTCCAACATGGGGGTTTTAAGAAGAAATTGGACAACCATTTGTCTGAAATATTATAGGGTTTCCTTCTTGAGCAGGAGGTTGGACTAGAAGACCTCCAATGTTCCTTCCAACTTTGCTATTCTACTATTGTGTTATTCAATTCCAAACATCCTAAAAGCCACATTTCCTGGGTAAGTGGGGATTTGTAATCCAAAATGTCTTGAGAGCAATTAATTGGGGATGGCTAGATTAGTATTACCTTAGTTGGTTTCAATAATTTATTTTTTATTTTTAAACAGGTAAAGTTTTATTCAATGAAACATTAGTCACATTAAATAGATTGAATAGACTGAGATGAAAACTCAGAAAAATGTTGTTAGGTCAAATAGATAAAAATTTCAAAAGAGAGAGATGGAAAGTTTAATAGGCAGTGCATGAAGCTGATTATGAATATGGCAGAAGCAAGAATGGTTTATAAAGATAGAAAAATATGGTGAGTGCTTTAAATGTAAGCTATATTTAGCTATAGTTCTTTGCTTTCACTTGTTTTTATTTTGTAAAACTTTGCTTACCTGGAAATGTAATAGCGTGAGAGATGTTTATACTGGTCTTCTTCTTCTTGTGCCATATCTGTTATCGGACGTTGGTGATCATTTTGGCGATCCTGTTTTTATCAGCAGCCGCACGAAAAAGTGCTGCTGAGTTTTGTCCAAGCCAGTTTATATTAGTGGTTACTCTGAATCTATGAAACTTGCTACTGAGCAAGCATGTAGAAAGGCAGCTTCTTCAAATTATGTCTTGATAACTTGAGAATTTGGGAGAAAGATTATGCAGCTGTTATTTGTTTTAGAAGGATCATTTTTCAGAGAGAGACTCTATCCACTTTAACATTGGCTCTAGCATAGTTGGAAGTAGGGCTTTTGAAATCTTTCCCAAAATGGGGCTGAAAGAGTTCTATATCTCTGATATAAACATTATTAATACATTTAAATAATTATGATTTATTTGTATCTACACCAGAATTAGGATTGGTATTTGAGCAAATGGGACATACAAAACAAATTAGTTCAGATTCATCTTCCACAGAACCTAATTATTCTTTTGTAGCTTTTAATAAGGTATAGTCAGTCTTTCTGAGACCATGAGCTACACTTTTAAACTGTTTCAATTTTCACTGTCTATGGAGATGCTCAGTCATCCAGGTGATGGTTGTCCCACAGGTGTTTTTCAAAGGACAACTGGACTTTCTTGGTTTTTTTTTCCTTAAAAACCTTTGCTTCTTGGATGAGAAGCAAACATTTTCAAAGAAAAAAACCCAAAAAAGTCCAGTTGCCTTTTGAAAAGTAACTTTGGGATGCGTTTCATTTTTATTTGTTTGGGAGATCAGCGGGTGATCTGAGCACACACTAGAAGGTTCAAAGGAATTGCCTGGATTCTCAAGCTTTGCTCACCCATGCCACCCTTTCTTTGGGCCCCATGAAGGAAAAGTCACATCCCTGAAAATTAGTGGTTTTGTTTCAGATGCCCTGAAAATTAGGGACGAGATAGAGAGAGTCTCCATAATCACTTAAGCTGTGAGTCGCTCAGCCAGGAGGATGTAGTGGTCAAGTCAGGGAGACCCAAATTTCAAATCTACCCTCAGCCGTGGAAACTCAGTGGGTGATTTAAGGCTAGTCACTCTGTCCCAGCCTACCTCAGAGAGTTGTTGTTATGGACCCCATCAGTAAAGAATTTCAACTGGTGGGGTCTAGGAAGAGAGCTTTCTTTGCTGTTGCACTGTCCTATGGAACATCCTGCACCCTGAAGTAAGGCAGCCCCCCATTTTTCTGGCCCTTAGAAAAGCCTAGAGACTGAGTTCCAGCAGCTGGTATGGGGATCTACGAGTGGTAGGCAAACCTAGGATGGGTGGTGGCATGAGGGCACTCCCTCTGCCTTTTTAAACTTTGCTTTCAATTCTGTTTCTAATGATGTCTTTTTATGTATTTTATTTGTATTGAAATGGGTAGTGTATATATTTGATAAATAAATCAATAATATGGGAGGAGGGAGTCATTACATATCATCTTCAGCTCTTCAACAAAAATGGGATATCAAATAAATACATCCACGATTTAGATCTATAGTAATGGCCTATGAATTTGGGGCAATAAAAAGAGTACAAAAACAAAAATGATACACTTTCCTGTTCTGTGCAGGATTGCTGGATGTAGTTCCATCATTTGGAGCTATTGTTGTTTTGTTTTGATGCTTTGTTTAGATTGTGCAATGCTGTTTAATAGAGGAAGAAGAGAAAGCGGGTACTACAGAATTAAACCACGACAGGACAGAGAACCTTTTCTTGTGTACTGTGATATGTCAGATGGAGGAGGGTGGACGGTAATTCAACGGCGGTGCAACGGCAAAGAAAATTTCTACCGGTAAGTTTCTGAGTATAGTTAATAGCTCACCTGAAAAGAGTCTACGGTTTCTTTATGCACCATCCCAAATTAAGAAATGCCCCCCAAAAGACAGAGATGTTCATAAAATTTGCAGACATTATTTGCTATGAATCACACACACAATTTAGAAAAACATATTTCAAAAGGAAATGCAATAATACATATCCCCCAGTTAGAACTAAATCTTGTTCTCAGTTTTTCTCCAAGATTACAAGATTCAAAAGCCAAATTATTTTGGTTTACAGCTATAGATTTATTTGAAGACCCAGCAAAGCTAATATTTTCTTTTGAAAGGTAGTAGTTCTGCAGGATTTGCGGGCTGTTTTCCTATGGAAGAAATTCTTGTTTTAGCTCCTGGCTCTGAGTTTCAGTGTTGTCTCTGTCTGCATGTACCGTAATGGTTGCAATGTACTGTACCTCCCTCCCACCTTCCCCTATTCCAGCTTCCATAGGAGCATGCAACTGTGGTTAGGGCTTTTTAGCTATGTATCTGGTTACAAAAATGGCATTCTTTACTTTCACAATATACAAGAAGGCTTTAAATAGAGAAGGCAGCTATGCAACCAGAAAGGTTGTTTTTCTCAGAGAAACTGCTTAGATTCCCCCCCCCCCAAAAAAAACAAGGCACAAACATTGTAGAATAGAAATGTGGAAAGGGAAGTCCTAGAAATGGATTTTATTTCCCTGAATATGAAGTACAGAAAGAATAATGTTGTTGTTCCTGTATCTGCAGTCATTCAGGAGGCAGCACAATGGACAACATTTTTGGTGGTCTTATTTTTCAGCTATGAACACCGATTGACTCATAGCGTTCTCTCTCTACGTTATCTCAGCACTCAACGATCAAGGAAATGATTATTCAAATGAGATCCAAACTTTTTTGTGGGGGGACTGGAAAATAGAAATGGTGGCGATGTGGAAGTGTCCTCAGTCATCTTAGTTTCTGCCAGTCTTCAAGCATGAAGCATTGCTTTGAGGAGTGCTGATAACTTGCCCTTCCTCACTATACTGAAAAGCTCCCATGAAAAAAAGAGACAGAGCGATGCAAAAGATAGGAAAGCAGCTCACTCCATAATTTCTACAGGACTGTAACAACACAAACAATGTCTAATTTGACTATGGTTTGAAGTACGGGATATAAATTTGAAGGGCGGGATATAAATTTAAAAATAATAATAATAATAATAATAATAATAATAATAATAATAATAATAATAATAATAATAATAATAATAATAATAATAATAATAATAATAATAATAATAATAATAATAATAATACATTCAAGCTGGACCAAAAATAATTTGACTTAGCTACTGAGCACAGCCAATAGTGCAAAAAGCCAGGCAGGTCCAGAGCTATTTTCAGCTGATGCAAAGCTCTTTTACAGTGTTTCACACAGTAAATATAAAAAGAAAGGAAAACATGAAGCAGAGGAGAATGTCCTTTGTTCCACCTCCTTATTAACTGAGAAATATTTCTCGAGCTTCTATGTCTGACTATCTCTTGCCATACAAAAAGGGGAAAATATAGTAATCTACTTGTATTTGAGAGTTGGATTTGAGAGCCAGTTTGGCCTAGTGCAGGGGTAGGCAACCTTGGCTCTTTTATGATTTGTGGACTTCAATTCCCAGAATTCCTGAGCCAGCATGGCTCAGCTTGGAAACCTCTCCCTTTCCTCTCAGCATGGCTGGCTCAGAAATTCTGGGAGTTGAAGTCCACGAGTCATAAAAGAGCCAAGGTTGCCTACCCCTGGCCTAGTGGTTAAGGCACCAGGCTAGAAAGTGGGGGACCGTGAGTTCTAACTCCGCTTTAGCCATGAAAGCCAGCTGGGTGACCTTCGGCCAGTCACTCACTCTCAGCCCAACTCACCTCACAGGGTTGTTGTTGTGGCAAAAGAGGCAGAGGAAGGTGTGTTGGTTATGTTCACCATCTTGAGTTATTTGTAAAAATAATAAAGGTGAGATATTAATTAATTAATTAATTAATTAATGGGTTAATTAATCAAACAAAAAATTAGCACAACCCAATTGCAGGCTTACAGGCAATTGGTTGGTAATCAGAGCGAATGGCCTGAAGACATACAATAACTGCCATTTTTTACAGCAAGTTATAGGTAATATTTCTTAAAAATCTCATTTACGCTGTCTTGAATTCTATGATGAAAGATGTGATATAAAGGTAATGATCATTAAAATGTTGTAATTTCATATTACTTAGCACTAAGTTGTCTACTGAGACTAATATGTGTACACCTCTTTGCTGCAGAGAATGGCTTGATTACAAAGAAGGATTTGGACAATTACAGGGCAAGGATGATGAATATTGGCTTGGTAATGATAAGATTTATGATCTTCTTTTCAATGGTAAGGATACCTACCAATAAATTTAAACACAGTTAAAGTAATGCTTTGTATCAGCCCATTAGTGAATGCAGGCCTTTAGATCTTCATTTCTCTTATGATAAATTCTGGAAGAGTCTATTAAGGATAAACTATGTGTAGTGGTAGGAATATGTCTGACCTCACAGTTTCTTCTTACCTCCCCACAAAATGGCAAGGAGCATAATATTGGTAAACATCAAGGACAGGCAATGTAAGAATCTACATATATTTAGGTGTTGGGGTGTTGGGAAGAAGAATATAGTATATTACCAAGATTTGACTTTGTATTGGGTATACATGGGGTCAGTGTTGGGGTGTTTATTACCTGAACTCAAAGCCTTTTTCAACATCCAGTGGAGACTTCCATGGGTCAGATGCTTGTTCTTTGTGACTCAAGATAATCTTATTTACGATTAAAGTTGTCAGAGCAGGACTAGTTATGTTAGAAGATTATTAATATCTTCTTAGGGGTGCAATTTATTCTTCCCTGCCTTAAAAAACAGTGGGATGCAGCAATTAAAAAGGACAATGGGATCTCAGATCGCATTAACATGTGAAAGCTACCAGGATGTCAGTGGGTCTAGAAACCAAGCATTATAAGGAATAGTTAAATGTTTAGTTTTTTTTAAAAGGGCATGTTCACTTTGCAAAATAGAAAATTATGGATGGATATAAGAGCAGTGTATACTACAAACATTTAAAATAATGTTATATCCAAGGTTGGATACACCTGTTCTGTGTTGAGACCAAGACTAATAAATTCCAATGAAATCAGGTGGAATATTAGAAACAATTTCCTAATGGCAACAACTGTTGAGCATCTACAGTTCATTTAGACCTGTTGTGGGTGTCCACTTGCCCTTTGTTGGGCATTTTTCTTTTGGCACCTAGATGGCCACTTGTTGGGATTGATTGAATTCCTGCATTAAGCAGCAGGTTGGACTAGATTCTCTCTAAGATTCCTTCAGTTCATATAATCTAGGGTTATCAACATGTAGACTTGCAGTTCCATCCACATCTGAATAATACTGTTTATCTGGAGCCATTTCCATTGGGTTTGACTGAAAGTTTCTTTCATGTCAAGCTTGATTCCTAGGGACATCATTGAACATGCATGTGGTTTTCTTAACAACAAGATGCAAATAGCTAGATATTGCTTCTTCCATGATGTTTTCTCAAGCTCCCATCCTAGTCTAAAACTCTGGGATGTCCTGGCAGTCTGTTATCTGAGTATAATCGTTGGACTCTGCTTGTTTTTTGTGGTTAATCAAGGTAGATACTGCTTCCGAAGTTTCCTAGGCCCAATATTATGGTGGTCATATACTAATTTTTGATCCTCTAGATAATTTAGAGCCTAATCTTCTTAGGGATTATCAGCCCTTCTATGAAGATACTTAGGAGCAGCCCTTTTGAATTTTCTCCACTCTCAGAGGCATGTCCTTGGGGGGGGGGCTTCTCCTGCGTGATTTTCCAGCTATTGTTTCAGGAGTTGCATCTAGTCTTCAGTCTCTCTGCATTTACAAAATCTCTAAAGTGCAACCATTTTGCTAATTTTTTCATTACTAAATGATATCAGTATTAATTTTAATATTAATTGTAATTTCTATTTTTAACTTTCATAGTATGTTTCTTTTCTAAATTTTGTCCAGTGCCCAAGTATTCATCAGAGTGAAAGGCAGAATAAAAATAAAAATGTTTATGCAGAACAACTAAAGAGAGTGGATAACCCTTTATCCTTGTGCTGCTTTTCAGTTCTTGATGTAGTATTTGCTTTTCTTTCTGCATGTAACATCATTACAAAAATATTGGAACAATAACAATTGCCTTGCTGGCCATATAGGGGGTCAGGACAGTGATCCCAACAGGATTTTTTCCACTAAAAATTGGCAACAAATCACTATTTGTACAGTTTTCTATCAAGTTCAAGAGGAAAAAGATAGAACAAAGCCTTTCATCATGCTTTGCACACCTTTATTTATCATCATCAACTCAATAAAAAAATTAATCTTGTCAGTTTACATGACACCTTAATATCATCCCTGCCCTGTAATTCTAACCCACCAAAAATAATATTTTAAAAATGTGGTCCCTCCAGTGAAAGATTGCTCACTCCTGCAATAATTGCAATGAATTGCAATTGCAATGTGCCCCTTACTAACCAAAGGTGTTTTTTTTAAATATCTTAGGAGGAATTTCACTGAAAATTGATCTAATGGACTGGCAAGGAGAGAGACGATATGCAATTTATGATGATTTCCAGATCAGGAATGAGACAGTGAGTAGCCTGACCTATGAGAATGAATAATTGGTCCTAATGACCTGTCATATGAGAGGCTGGCAGACAATATAACAGTATTTCATCAGTATCCTCATGAGCTAATATAGTAAATGAAATATATAACCAAAAACCTATATTTAGGTCCTCCTGAACAAAAAACTGAAGCGATCTCCAGTCCATTTGAGCTGGAAATCAGAAAGAAAATGTCTTATTGCTAAACCAAAGAGCTTCTAGAATATAAGTCTAGAAAATTTTAAAGAACCCACTAGGATCACCAGAAGAGGCTAAATATAGTTTACTATGAACTATAATTTGGAAACTCTTATGGGGCCAGAATATTTTTCTAATCTCTCTGGGATTGGAATTTCGGTAATATGAAAGATTGTAGTCTATCTAAATTAAGATTAGGATTAAAGTGGTTGTGCTGCCGTCTAATGATCTAATATCCCACAATCCCACAATCCCAGTGAATCAGTAAAGAAGGCAGGGAGGTTATGACCTTTGTGTTGCATTCTGCTTCATCAGGGGAGGTGGCTCCCCTTCTCTCCATAATTACCACTTGCCATCACTTCTCCCACTCAAATGCAGAAATGTCAGATAAGGGGTTGGCATCTAGAAAGCTGTTTCCAAAGGCTAAGAAGATCAGAAGAACATTGGTGGCGCTTGGGAGAGGTGGTCGAGGGTTAGGCAGGGAATGTCTGCATGCTGTTTTCATCTGCGGGCCATTAAACCCTGTTTATAGGGGCTCAGAATTTAATCAGTACCATTGTTGGGTGGGGATTATGGAATGCTCCGATTTCTGCCTAATCCATGAAAAGCTTGAACCGGGGGCCAATCAAGACTAAGAAAAGCTGGCTTCCATGTAATTAGGCTCTGAGGTTTTGTAATATTCTGTGGTGGTAGCAGTCTCTGACATATGACTCGCTCCTTAATCTTGAATCTTAGTAACATGAGGTGCTGTGGCTTTCCTTCAGAACAATTACATACTATGGTTTGGCATTTATTCCGGGACTGCTGGGAATGCTTTGTCTGGGGGGAGCAACTTTGAGAGCCAATGGTCTGCATCACTCAACGGCATGCCCTTCTCTGCTCCTGATCGGGACCACGACAGGTTCCTAACAGGCAACTGTGCAGAAGAGAACAAATGCGGCTGGTGGTTTAACAGGTGAGTTCATTGGCAGCAACCCTACTGAAGTCACATGAAGAGTAGGCAATTGAGACAGATCTCCCTCCTGGATGTCTGAATCTGTGGAGGCTGTTTGTTACAGTCAGATTCTAGAGAAAGACAAATGCCAGTTCTAGAGAAAGACAAATGTGGTACAGAGATAAGCAAGGAAGTCCAGGTTTCCTACTTCTCCACAGCTAGGAAGCTCACTGTGTTATCTGAGATCAGGCACCTTCAGTTAGCCTAATTTATCCCTCAAGATTCGGGACAGGACGAAAAGAGAGGCGTCTTCAGTTTCCCTAAAGAGAAGGTGGACTATGAAAAGAGATCAACACAAATTAGTTTGCAGGCACCAGCATTACCTCCATGTTTTCAGGAAGGGGGCACAAGAACTTCCATTCCTTTCCATTGCTGATATACTCAAATGCAAGCAGATTTAGAAAAAAAAGATTACCATAATTAACACAATTACACATGACAAAAGGTGAACAAGGAGAATTGCAACTAACAGAACAAAAGTACATTGCGTCTCTTCATGGCCAAATTATGTAGTGCTTTTGCCAAATATGACCTAAACTTTGATCGGTTCTCCACACATCCTAAAACTAGATAAAGAGAACCCAATTAAAGGCATTATACTTGTTCATTGATTTGTTGAGAAACATAACTCAAGGCTATGTATTTCTGCATGGCAAAAGTACAGTATGTCAATTTTTGCTTTCAGTAACTGGTGTATCTTCATGTGGCAGCAATAAGTATTTCTGCCAGCAACTAAATGTTTCTGAAAACTGTTAGAACATAGACTAACAGAGTTGGAAGGGACCTCAGAGGTCTTCCAGTCCGACCCCCTGCTCAAGCAGGAGACCCTATACCCTTTCAAACTTTATGAAAGACTTCAGTGATGGAGCACCTTTATTTTCTTAGACATTACCCTTAGGATCTTTGAGACTTTCTGTAGTGTTCTCTTGGTATGATCTTGGTTGGTCAACCACTCTGGGGAAGGGTAACAGTGGTGTTGAATTGTCTCTATTTATACACAATCTGCCTGGCAGTTGACCAGTAAGAGTCCAAACTTTTTGGAAATAGTTTTGTAACCTTTTCCAGTTGGGTGAGTATCAACAGCTGTCTTTCAAACATCCTCAGAAAGCTCCTTTGTTTGACACCCTTCCACATACCTCCAAATGTTGTGAAGATCAGACTTTGATAGTGAATACCCAGAATTCTATTTTTTAAATGAGGCAGGATGTCCGATACAATGTTTTTGACTCATTTAGTTTAATTTGGGTTCTCTCTATCTAGATTCAGTATTGTGAGAACAGATCACATTTTTAGTCGTATCTATGCAGAAATACTAAAAATTCAAAAATGTTTACAACTTTTACGCACCATTGTATAGGTTACTTTTCCAATCCTGCAATTGTCCATCCATCGTTTCTTCTTATGTATCTTCTATTTAAAGGGTTACCATTTATTGAAGGGCCCTCAAATGGAAATAGCATAAATTCATGAAAATACAGTATTAGGCAGCAGGCTAAAGTATAAAGCAGCTCTTGTGGTTTTATTATAGAAAATGATCAATTTTATCTAACAGCAGCTAAACTGTAATTTTTCATATTAAACAAAAAGTGTATGCTACTTTCTTGATCTGGTGCCCTTGTTGGTTGGAACACAACTCCCAGAATCCCCCATTCTATTTCAATGTAGCTGGAAGTCATCTGGTTGAAAGAGAGTTCTAACACCAATTGGTCATAATGTTATATCGCCAATTAAGATTTATGTCATTTTATCTATTACTATGCACTTGGGCCATTCCCTGACCTTTCATTAACATCTTTTTCTGTTTGTTTTTTTCCCCCTCTGACATTTCCACAAGGTGCCATGCAGCAAATCTTAATGGACTATATTACAAGAAGGGGACATACTCCGGTCCCTTTGATAATGGAGTGGTTTGGTCAACGTGGCGAGGCTTGTGGTATTCCCTGAAATACACAGCTATGAAAATCAGGTTCCAGTCCTTTCTGGATGGAGAGAGTGGAAATGGTGAAATCAACTGAGATCTTTTCAGGCACATTTGAGAAAGAGAAGCAGGCATGCCAAAATTATTGTATATGTGGTCCTTGGCTTGAGACTTAGCACACTGAAAAAATCTTATAGTAAGGAGTATGCCACAGTGAGGAAGAAAATTAGATTTTGCTTTGGATTACCAATCATTGCATTATTCCTGTATCCAGTGCTTTTTTTCTAAAAAAAAAAAAAGGGTGCCGGAACTCACACACATCATACAACCCGCCTTGCCTACCCTACAAGGTTCCATCCAAAAAAGGTGCCGGAACTCCGTTCTGGGCATTCTATGAGAAAAAAAGCCCTGTGTGTTGTCATTGCACCAGCTAACAATTTAAAAAATGGCTTTTCATACAAACAGAACATGCCCTCAAAAATAGACTGGGGGGGGGGGAACCCTCTACTTTGTTGAGGGCACAAAGGACAATCCTGCTTACTATTTACCTTTCCTTTACAAAAAATATTCACTTGTTGAATACAGCATTGCGTATTTTTACATTTGTTTTGGGAATTCATTTTGTTTCCTGTCTTCCAAAAATTAGCCACCTTTCAGGGAAATGCAGAAAATGCTGTGAGTCGCTGGGAAGAAAGGGTTTTATGGTACATAGAGAGAGAATGAGATCAATCTGTGTGAATCCCATCAGAGACCTTCTAAGGAAAGGGTTTCTGACTGCTGCAACAGAGCTATAAAGAATGCTAGATCGGAAAGGCAGGTTTACTTGTCCTTTTTAAATTTGTATTTTCAAAACTGGTGACTTTCTTAAATTGGAAAAAAAGGAAAGAAAGGTGAATCTTGACAGCTGCCTAATTATGTATGAAGTTAGATGTGCATTTTTCACAAAAGGTTTTTTTTTTAATTATTCTGAATAAGCACCACGTGTTTCAAGCTGTAACTTTTCAATTTATAATGTTTCAAATCTTACGACTCCGTGATGGGCTAAGCATAGCTTTGGGATGGATGTTCTCTCAATCTTCTGGTAAAATGTGAACAATTATATTAATTCCTAATGTGTGAGAAATTATTAAGTTTTTACATTTACATCAGCCACATTTAATGCAATTAAAGCAGCAGCAATTGCAAAAATATGTAATCACAATTATATCATTGTCTTCCAAACAGCATAAAAAATAAACATTAGCTCATTGTTGATCCATGTCTAGAATTTGTCTGTTACAAAACACTAATAACATTTCTTGTTTCACATTATTTATTTTTTTCACTTGCATTTTCTGAAAGAAACACTTTCTATAACTATATGCCAGTGGGAATAAACCAAAACCAAACTGCTTAATTTTAAAGTTTCTTCAACTGAAATGGATTGAAGTTTGCAAAGGAGGTTGACAAGGATACCGTTTCCTTGTAAGGAGAATAATCTTTTTTTAAGGTGGATTCTTCTGAAGCAGAATATTGCTTTGCAACTAAACAAGAGACGTATGAGAGGACATCTAACAGGCTTGGCAACGTTGTAATTGGAGTTGCTGTGATGCAAACAGTGGTTAAAGAAGCATCCAGTGCTCATCCAATACAAATGAATAGACCGGCTATATTCCAGCTGTGCCTGTAACCACACTAACCTCTTAACTAATACCAAATGCCGACCTCCAAGTCTGATTTTATAGGCCAGTGAATGCCACAGTGTAGAATGTCGCAGGCATTTTCACAGTCACTTAGCAGCCACCGACAAGGAATTCTGAGGATAATAAGGGTAACCAATTTACAATGTGTTATATGCTCCAATACCAATGTCCAATACTATAAACTGAATATGTAAGCATACAGGCTAACCTTGGCCTTAAAAGCATCTATTTCTGAGACAGTTTAGAGAGAGATTCTGCACAAGTACACATTTAGTCATTATTTTTGTCTTAGGGTATCATTTACTTTTTCCAAGTATTTGGCCTGCTTCGATGGAATGATAATGAGGCCTCCTTCCCTTCTTAAGGAGTTTTCTGTTAAAAGTACATTTTGAAAGTTTAAGAGCTTTTGCAGTTGCTAATGCCGCAGCTTCCCATTTGCCTACAAGAAGTTCAGATCACCAAATTTTCAGAAGTTAAAGTACTTGTTTCACCTTCATTTAACTCAAAATATCCAGGCAGGTTAAACATTTGTTGTTCTAAGTCAATCAAACCAAAGGAAGTGTTGTCATAGAAGTGGCATCCAGTATCCGATGGAAAGCTTTGACATTTGCTCTTTCTATACTGTGAGGGACTCAGAGTCTCTACTTTCTGGTGACCATCCTTAAGAGTTAGGAAAGTAGACTCCTTCCTCCAAGCACCTGCAGGATTTAAAACATGTCCACTTCTGGTTCTCCTATGTTCTGATTTATCAGCACAAGATACAAAAGATCCCAGTGGACGATTGTGAACCAGATCTGGTTTCTTCTCTGGAAGTTTCTGTTTGTGAGGAAGAGGTCCCCCCCAGCTCAATGACTCTGTGGTTAAAGGAATGCTGTGATACAATTCAAGTTCCATAGTGTTCTGTGCTGTATTTTTAGATTTAACACAATGTTGTTTTTCCATAACATGATTCCAGAGTTTGGCCCTGCAGTGGTTGAATGAAGTCTGACTTTGTGTAAGGGTAGACATGCTTCTTTTCCGAAACGGTTTTGCTCTTCTAGTTTCGTGGAAACTTGCTGTTCTTCTGAACTGTGAACTTTTTTGGTATCCTCTTTCTGTTGACTCTCCTTTGTTATCACAATATCTAGGGTGGTTTCTTCCCATTAAGGAGTGATTGGGGCTCAACACAGAATTGGCCTGCAATAATGTGCAATCCATCCTAGAACAGGGTCTGTCCCCTGATAACCTTAGATAATCAGGTGGCTGTTCTGGAAATGGAGATTTTATTCTAAACTTACTTGCAGCAGCTACCTCCTGGTTTTCTGTTTTCACCGTGTCCATGAGAGGGTTCTGAGCCACATGATAAACTTTGGTTGTTTCTGTAAGTCCCTTTTTCTTCATTTCTTTCAACTGCTGCTGGGCGAGGCGATAGCTGTAAATGGGAGGGATGATTTTATGGGCACTGGACTGCAAACTCTCATGAACTAATCCTCCTCCATCTTCGGGGACCAAATGAAGGCTTCTCCTGAAATTCAAGGTTATGTCAGAAGCTTCTCCTGGAGAAAAACAAGAGGTTTCTCCCTCGGAAAAGCTTTCTTGTTGAGGTCTGTCTGGGCAAATATCCTCTTCGTCGGAATTTTTTCGGAAGCCAGGTGAATGAGTGGAGTCACAGTTAACTGGACTGCTGCACTTCTGGGTTCTGCAAAGCTTCCTCCATAAGGTGATAAGGATGGTTGCAAAGATTATCGATAAGCATAACGATATCCCAGTGATAGTTATCAAATTATTGGCAGCTCTTTCAGGAGATAATGGTTTGAGGAGGCCAGTTGTAGTGACTGAAACAAAGAGCAAAGACATCAGAAAACACAATTTATAACTGCCAATCAACCCAACAAATTAAAAAGCTTACCGATTTCCACTCTATGGCCTTAAAGCACTTTTTAACTATTTCAGCATTGGCTTTCTGATATCACCGTATGCCAGAACTTCACAAGTTGAAATGCAATCGTTTTAAGACTGATTTCCGATGCTTGGATATATGTAGCTTTGTAATCACTGTTTTTTATTCAGATGTGGTGTTGGAGCTGGTCCAAAATAACTTTGGAGCCATTTTTCTCTCTGTCATAACTAAAATGTATTGCACTATTAAAACATAGTAGAAATGTGTGCTATTTGTGCAATAGTGACAGCTTCATTTGAACAACTTGATGGCTATTCTGTCTAGTCAGGAAACAAGACATTTATAGTAAAAATCTACTTTGCTGGGACATTTTGGAGGTGCTCTTCGTGTTCATGATTTTGTGAAACATTTTTGAGTTATGTAAATTAAGACTGTGTAAAAGAAATAAGCTTGCCATCTCAGACAAGTCAGGTATTTGGGCCCACAGAAAGCTCTGTTGACCAGGAAATAGACAACACCAAACAGAAATATTCTCTCTCAAGTAGGACGTGCAGTCAACCTAGTTAAAGCACAGCAAGCTCTGTACCAACCTAAATCTTTTAGTTTGACATGTTGTGGACAGCAGTTCCAAATAGGGCTTATCCTGAGTTTCTTAGGAACTTTGTAATCCTGGAGGCAAGGTTAAAAACTGTTAAATACAATGAGAGTCTCAGTATTTGCATAGCTGTCAGTCAAGAATAATTATATGACATCAATTGGTTAATAAGTCTATCTGCTGTATGGATATGTATCTCAATATGTAAACAATATATGGCAGCCTTTCCCAAACCAATGCTCTCTAGATGTATGGGCTTGCAACTTGTAAAATTTCCAGTGCGTGTCTACAATACCACATTTTCACTAGGAGGCTTTAAATGGCAGTACCCTGGGAAATGTTGATTACATGAATACATTCATATATGCCAATCAGACACAACTCTATACTTGGATTTTCTTCCTTCAATTCTGCCTGCCCTAGAATTCCATGCTGACTGGGCAGAGAGATCTCTTGAATACATACAAAAATAATGCGAAGTTGTATAGACTATAGTGTTTTTGAAACATCAAGCTTACATACTGGGGCATTCCTCCAAAGAACACGGAGAAGTTTCTTGTTGCCTTCCTGAGCAACCGTGCATCATGTGGACTGGGGAAGGCATGAGGCATTCCCGATAACGCTCACGAATGCCACCTCCACAAGTGGCACTACACGAACTCCAGGCTTGCCAGGTGCTCCAGGATCCTCCTAGGAATACATAAATTACATTGCTACAGAGAGCCATTCTCTTAAAGCTATCAACCATCCTGCGGAAAAAACAAGAATAATTGATTAAGTTCTAGAAAGTAGATGGATTCAAATTCCTTTTGGAAACTGAATTATCCCCAAACAAAATATAGGTTTGACTTACAACCACGATTGAACCCAACATTTATGCTGCTAAGCAAGACACTTGTTAAGTGTGTTTTGCCCCGTTTTTACTACCTTTATTGCCTCAGCTGTTAATTGAATCACTGCAGTTGCTAAGTTAGTAACACAGTTGTTAAGTGAATCTGACTTCCCCATTGACTTTCCTTATCAGAAGGTTGTAAAAGATCACGTGACTCCGGGACACTGCAAGTGTTATAAATATGAATCAGATAAAAAATATATACAGTAAATCGATTTTCTACCCTC